GGGGGGGGTTTTGGGGGGGAGGGGGGAAGGTCCCCCCCCCCCCCCAATATTTATACCATGGTTAATGGAAACCTAGTATCAGGCTTGATTAAAAATTTTTTGTCTCATATTTACATCATATAGTTAAGAAATATCACACGAGCAATAGGCTAAGTGCAATATCACACGAGTGCAAATGTGATACTGTTCTTATACAACAGTTCAGTAAGTAAGAAGTTAATATTGTGTTATTTTAGACAGTGCTTGGCTCAGTTTTGTCAATGAAAAAAAGACAAAGCAGAACTGTTCGTCTCCGAGCAACACACAACGGCATTTCATTTCTTAATGCACGTTTTAAACGAATTGGGTGAACCATTTGGCACGTTGAACCATTGGCCATAGGCGCCTTGGATTTGAAGCGCCGCTGCACAGACCGATCGGTGTATGACATCAAAGTACAGCAAGAGCGATTCAAAAGCATAAGGAGCCATCTGCTCTCTATAGCTCTTGCGGTACTTTGATGTCACACAACGATCGGTCTGATGGTGATGATCCGCTTCAAGTCAAACAAGCCTAATAATTCAATGGACCATTCATAAAGAACCATTTACTTTACTCCTGAATGAATCAGCCATTTGAACGAATCAAATTAATGAATAAATGACTCGATTACTTCATCATTAAGACATTTACCACCACCTACTGGCAGTTTTAGTTTATTATTTAGAGTATCATTTCATTAAAGAAATAATTTCAGATTTCCATAGTAATAATAAAAATTAATAAAATCAATTATTAAAGGTATAGTTCACCCACCCAAAAATGACAATTGTGTCATGATTTACTCACTCTCATGGTCCAAAAGAGTATATGTAATACATTTGATCAAGCAAAATATTTCTTGCCGAAGCTACTTTTTGTAATGTCCGTTTGATGCTTTACACAACAATGACTTTAAATTATCTTCTGGGAGTCATTTCTCAGCCAAATTTGATGTGTGATTAATTTGTGATTAATTAGATTAATTAATTGCCACATCCTGTAATTAATTAGATTAAAAAATTTTATTGTTTACCAGCCCTAATATATAGGCTGTATATATATATATATATATATATATATATATTCATGTATTCCATTCTACCCCAAACCTTTAAAAAACACATTTAAGGTCAGTCAAAATTGCCTCTGCTCCAAGCATTAATGAAAACACTCTCAACAGAACTATGTGTCAAAGGATTTACCAGAAACTCGACTATTACAGCTCAGTGTCATCTAAATGACACACTTATTGGCACAGAACAAGCTTCACAGATGGGGCCATGCTGTAAGCATATGACATTGAACAACATGATATTTAATGACCTTTCCGTAAGTTGTTTAAAAACCTCTCAATGTATATTACTTATAAATAGCTAAATGTTTTATCTGTCACTTTCCAGTCATTTATTTATTCAGCCATTACTTTGTCATCCTCTGCAAAATCTCAGACCAAATCAGTAAAGAATGTCAAAGTGCCCCGGCTCAATGTGAACTGCGGGGGGGGGGAATGAACGGTGAGTGACTGGCAGCGGTGTCTGGACAGGTGCCCCTAATTGGCAGGTGGAGCTCTCGGCATCAGCCGTGGCTGCTGAGACTAATGATGAGTCAGGCCGGACTGGCAGCAGAGAAGCGTCTGGAACGTCTCTGTCTACTTGCACAGTGACAGAGTTGCCGGGGATGATGTTGTTTCAGGCTGATTAATTTGAGTGGCGGGTCCAGTCGTGAAGAAGGAGTGTTAAGCTGGGGTGGGGGAGTGGAGCTGTGTGGGCTGTGACATTGTCCTTTATTATCAGATAACCTTAGTGGCAGCAGCCTCAAGCAAATGAGACAGTCCCCCTGGGAAGGATGGCAGTGGAGAGCTTCTCTTCGGCATGTCATATTACATCTGCTGGTACTTTGTGACAGGTGAGAATACACTTACATGGGCACAGGTAGGTTTAGCGGTTTAGGTGAGCCCAAAGTCTACTGTGGCCAACATGAAAGTCAACATGAAGTCAGAATTGACCCCATTACTTATTCAATGTTAATTCCAGGAGTTTTTGTGAATAATTTCCTCATTTAAGCAGTCTCCATGATTAAAAATGTAACTTGTTCTAACTTTGACTTTCCTTTTCAGATGATGCCACAAATATTACTTATTTCTTCATCCCATCCTCTCCAACCATTTGATTTCATCGTGGTATGTAACATCTACTTTGCACAATCCAATCAATCCCAATGGACAATACCAACGTCCTATTTTATTTTGGAAGGAAATAGGTGTCAGAATTCAGAAATAAGTTTCATGTTGATGCCTGGTTTTATATTAAATGGGTGGATCATTTCTTATCCACTCATTTTTTAATGAGTCATTTTTTAATTTACTACAAAAGAATCGAAAATTTCAACCACAGTCTTCCTTAGGGCTGCACGATAAATCAAAATGGAATCGAGATCGCGATTCGACAGAAGCTGCGATTGTCATGTGTATCTTTCAGCGAAGCACGGTTCTGTGATCAGCAGTAAATCTCCATCCAAAGGCCAGAGGACGCTCTCGCGCTGAAACTCCAAATAGACCTCGCAGAAGAAACTATGGTTTCAGATGGAGCAGCATTTACTTCACGGAGCCGTAGTTCACTGAGAAGCTGTGCAAACAGCTGTCATTATCGCGAACGATTTCTTCGGTTTCAGAATGGTGCAATAAAATCGTCTGGGAAGGTTTTTATTTTTTTTTATTTGTATTTTTTTCGTAACTTTTCAGTGAACTATGGCTATGTGTAGTAAATTCTGCTCCATCTGAAAGCACGTGATGATGATTTCCTGCTGATTACAGAACCGGCTTTGTTAACTAAATGCGCATGACAATCGCATATGATTAATTGTGCAACCCTAGTTTTCCATCAGATTTACAATCATGGACTGTGTGTAGCAGCATCCTGTGATGGAAATTATGTGGTGTAAATGACATTTTAACACATTGGCTCTGAACAAGGGGGCCAGGATGCCCTGAGTGGCCTAAAGATGCCTTAAAATGTAAAAAAATAAAATAAAATTCTACACCAGGGTGCCCAATCATGTTGATAATTAAAGATGACTGCAGGGTTGGAACTGATCACTGGAGGTAGGTAGAGAGGTTTGTGCAAAAATCTATATTTCTATTTAAAGTTTTTTTTTAACATTTCATAATATTTTTATAATTTAAGATAAATTACATATTGATTGGACAATAAAAATGTTTTGACGTCAAGTGACATTTAACACGCTCTCATGGCAACGTGTAACGATTTAACATTTCAGTGAATTGATGGAAAATTCTTATTCAGTTATACTGACAGTTAGGTTTTAAGGGTGGAATTAGGGGTGGACTTTCATGCTTACATTTTTCTAAAGTCATATGTTACTGTGCAAATCAAATCATACACATTCATGGGAATTTGCCACTAATTTCCCCAAATTGTAAAATAGGTGTAACAATTGTGACAATGTGACAAAAAGTAACTGAAAAGTAGCAAAAGCAAATGACAAAGTTTTAGACAAAAACTGTATGAATATGCTCTAACAAACCTCTAACCTATTTAACAAAAATAAAAAAAGCTGAAAATTTTTTAGTTTTAAAATCAACCCCTTGGACATAAAAGTGCTTGATGTTGAAGAAACACTCTCACATGTTTGTGAAGATTACAGAGGTCTCAAAGTGAATTTTTGGCTAATTTAAGGCAAATTTTTGTATGATCCTGCAAATTATTTAACACAAATTTGTAAAGTGATAGCAGATATTGCATGCCTCTGCACGCTTCTCCATGACCGTACTCTCTCTTGCTGATGTTTTAAACGTAGATGCATGTTGAAAACCAAAGAGAATTTGCTTTGAGTGATACTGCGACTTTCATCTCCAAGCTGTTTGTACTGGATCCCTTCATGAGTGGAGCTGCAAATTTCATTAATGCGTGGCGCGTACTTCAAGAGCGCACTGAGATCAATGCAACATTATTCATAATGACAATAGCAGGCAACGGTTGTGCTGGAGCAGAAAACAGTCTTGGTTTTAGGTGAGGAGTCATGCTATATGCTGCTGTCTCGCTGTATTTCTACACATTCCTTGAAAGTCTCTGGTGACAGAAAGTGACATTTAAAGGGGTCCTATTATGCTTTTTCACTTTTTCAACTTTAGTTAGTCTGTAATGTTGCTGTTTGAGCATAAAAAATCTGCAAAGTTACTGAGTTCAAAGTCCACTTCAAAAGGAGATATTTTATTGAACAGAAATCACTTTAAAAAAAACTACAAAGAACGACTCATTTGGACTACAACGCATATTTTCCGGGATTTGTGATATCACAACTATCGACGAATGGGATGAGACCTGGTTGAGCTGGACTAGAGAAGGCAACGAGTGTTATCACTATGTCGGAGACACGCTAGCTTTCTCAAGGCAGACAAACTTAGAGTGGTTACAATCATCCGGGTTTAAATCGCGCTCAAATTTATTTGATATTGATGCAATATTTACACTGAAGCTCGCAGGCAGCTTTGGTAAGGGGCATGACATTTCCCGACCAGGTGCCGAGTGCTGCCAATCACAACACACACTGGCCAGGCTAACCAATCACAGCACATTTCGTATTTCAGAAGGCAGGCCTTCATTTGATACAGGAACTATTCAAGCCGCTCATGCCAGACTGGGGAGAGAGGTGTTGCAATAATGTAAAATATGTGAAAAATAATGTTTTTTTTTCTGAACAACCAAGTATGAGAGCATGTTCTAGTACACCCCCAAAACAAAATCAAGACTTTGTAAAAGAGCATAATAGGACCCCTTTAAGCATTTCTTTTTGACTTGTGAAATCTAGATCACCGCAAATGCTGTGCTGTCACTGAATGTTAAATGTGCAATGTCTTTGAGCAAAAGTATGGTTGGACTATGCAGCCAAACAATGAGCCACCAGTTTAAATTCAAATAATTAATAGCAACAAAATGGAATAAAAAAAAAAAGAATGCTTTGAGGTGGTTTAGACCAAATTACAACAAATAACCAACACTTTGGCAAGACCTGAAATATGCAGTTGGTCTAAAGGGCTGAAGATACATTGATTTAAATATAACAAGCACAACATGTTTACACGAACAGTGTCATATTCATGTATCAAGATCCCAATTTTTATGCATTAGCTTCAATTCTGGAAGTCACTAAGATTGTGTGTTTGAAAACCAAAATAATTATGTAATATTTTTACAATGCTACATGTTTTCTCAAACTATCTGTACTCCTTCAGTTAGCAATAATTCACTGTTTGCCTCAAACTTTTCTTTCTACCTGTAACATAGCTTGCACAAAGACGAGGAATAGCAGAGGACAAAGGGGAGGGATGGAGGTTCAGGCCATGAAGTAACAATGGGCTTGGATTATGGAGCAGAGCCAACAGAGGGAGGAGGAGCCAGGAGAGGTCCATTTTATACACTAAATTGTATTTAATTTACAAAGCCTTTCACCCACATAATCTGTAAAAAAATATTAGTTCACTGTCTGGCGATGTGTTTATGCTGATAATGTAATTAAAGAAACAGTTTGTTTTTCAAATTTTCCATCGGACGTCATTTACTGGCTGTTGGCTCATTGGCTTGTGCGTTTTATATTTTGCATTTAAAAAATGTGACAATGAGCATCAATGCTTCTTGGATTTTGGGACTTCTTATGGAGCAAATATTTCAGTGCACTGGAAGGATTTTGCAATTGAGACCAATTTAAGCCATTAAAATGGCAGACATCTAGATATTTTTAGATAATCTCCAGACAAAATCTTGAAGGAAAGAGGAAGTGTTTTACCCCTGTACATATAAGGGACAAATTACATTAAATAGCATTTTTTAAAATCGGTATTCCAAAAGCATAATTTCCGTGGTAATCCAGAATACATCTTGTAACTCATAAGGCATTTTTTAAAAATTATTTATTTATTTTATTTTATTTTTCTGAGAGTGTGGATGTAATGCAATAATAATTCATTAACATCCTGATAAGTGTTCCTGTTTGAGTATCATTAACATTTCATAAGATGTTTTTGACTTTTGTAATTATATGCAACATCATGCTCAACTTGTTTCCCCAGAGAAAACAATACAATTACAAAATAATATTTCTCACCCTATGAAGTCATGGGTAATTGCATAAGACAATTAGAGGAAATTCTTGTTCTTGTTCTTTGGGAGAAACTTATGTAATGTGCTTATAATCGTTTAGAAATTATGAAGTTGGATGAGCATGATTAGAGCATCATACAAACTTCATCTCTGATATATGATGGTCTTAACTTGCTTGTGGTTAGACATTAATTTTGTTCATTTTATGCATCTATTGATAAGAGTGTTCTTTTTTTGTACATTGTCACCACTGGAAAAGTAACATGTACATAAGGACTTATCAAAATCCTTTATGTATGCTGTTAATAACTAATAACTAACAACAATTTGCTTGTACGCTAAAATCAATTAGCATATTAACAATATTATCTATGGTATATGCTCATGTTTAAGATGTCAGTCTGCATTACTTTAACTTATTTTTTCAAAATAGTGTTTAACAGTATAATTCCTGATGAAAAAAAACTATATTACCAGCAGAGAAATCATCACCAATCAGAGAATTAAAACAACTCCCATGAAGCACTGCAAATGACGTGATAGTCATTCTCCCTTATTCCATTTTCATTCACAATACTTTGTAGTTCGTTTCCACCATTACAGCTGTGAAGTACCCAGTCTTGTAGTTTTTCTTTTCATCTTATTTTCCAGTGCTTTGTTGCTTTAAATCGAAGCAGCAAAACCCTGTCTACTTGATTTCGATATCAAGAGGTCAGCTCAAGAGTCATACTCAAAATCATATCAATAAAATAAAAGTGTCTCTCTTTGTAGAGTGGCAGCTGATGCGTTATTGTTGGCATGAATGAAGAGGAAACATCTGAGTGATTACACAATCTCTCCTCTAGAAAAGTGCCACTCAGCAACGTCCTTCCCTCCAGCTGCTTGTAAAAGTGTTTGACCCTGTGTGGCAAGGCTGGATGTATTTAGACAGAAAAGATCTGAGAGCTGTATTCAAGCCTTTACTTCATGTAATCCGTTTTTAAGAAGTTTCTCAAATGACAGCAATTCTGAGAAGTGCCCAGATTCCCTCTTTTCTCTTGAAAGGAACAGCTTATTACGTTTTAGAGACCTGGCACCTGGACAGTAAACGTAAAAAAATTCTATCTTTGGTGTATGACAAGATATCCTCTCAGAATATGCTGTATCTGAGCAGTTCACGTCTTTGCAGCTGCAAAGAGCACATTCACGATCCTTTTCAGTCATCAAAGCTTCATTTATCTCCCTTTTATGAGAAAAAACGAACCATTGTTAAACTGCCTGATTGTGTTGCACTCATTTTGTAGATTATCAACTGAAATTACTTCAGGCAAATGCTTGTCACTTTAATTTGCTCTCCAAAAATGCATCTCATAGTTTGTGGCCAGATTAAAAAGTTAATCACATACACCGCCGCATTTCTCGTTTCATTTAATTGAGTTGTAAAATTAAAGATGTGGGGGCTTTCGATAATACCCCTTGAAGTTTTGCATGCCACTCAAACATATAATGGAATTGTGAATTACAAGCTTTTGTGCTGATGAAAAACAACCAGATTTCATATGGCACGTAAACAATGCAATCAGCTATACAAAAACATCAATACCATTGTATGATGCTGTGTGTGTCCTGCCCACAAATGACCACAGATTACAGGTGATTTATGAAGCATTGGATCTTATAACTGGAATATATACATACACATCCTATTCATATATCCTGTGGCCATTATCAAGGCTGCTCGGTTGGCATTAATCAAGAGCTTCTGTTTCCTTCGAACATGTACTATAGATTTGGGTGCGCAGCCAATTCACAGCCCACCGGCTGACTAATTTATTGGTCATTTGAGATAAAGAGGACGTGCTAATTGGTTTAAGCCCACAGGAACCGCAGAGGCGAGTGAGATAGCAGATCCCAGGAGTTTAATGATGTTGTTCAGTGCAGTTGGAGGGTGGGATAGGTCCCTCATGGTAGACTTAAAATATGACATGTGAGATTTACAGTTTTACTTGAGGGGCAAATGTATACATGGTATAAATAGAACATTCTAGATCTATCCTGTATGCATATGTACATTTACCAACATACAAATATTTGCAAAATGTATGCAAGAGACAAGGATTTATGACAAATCATTTACATGTACGTAAGTTAAAATAAAACCCAATTCTCTCAATATAATTTAATTGGGTTTTTCCAGGGACTTTAGAGTCATCTGTTGAATTTAATGGGGGAAAAGTGACTTTGGGATGATGAAACCATAAGTGAAAAATGGTAAATCACTTTCAAAGTGATCTCAGGTCTCAGTCCTGCACCACTCTATAATTTCTATGATGAAAATTTGTAAAATTCTTAATTAAAATTAATTTACATATTTATTTATGGAGTTTAAAATAGTCAAGGTGGTAAAACAGTGTCTGAATCTGCTATAATAAAGTTACATGTACTTGTAAAGATACTTATAGTCACTATAATGTCTACTGGGGGACCATCAAAATAAAGTTTAAAGGGGTCATATGATGCGATTTAAATTTTTCCTTTCTCTTTGAAGTGTTACAAGCTCTTGGTGCATAAAGAAGATCTGTAAAATTGCAAAGACTAAAGTCTCAAATCTAAAGAGATATTCTTTATAAAAGTTAAGAGTCAACCACGCCTACCTAAAACTGCTCGTTCTAACATGCCCCCACATGTCTACGTAACGATGTGGGAAGATTTGCATAATGCTGCCCAAATGTTCACGTAAAGAACGAAGGCATAACGTTTATTCTTGCTGCAGTATTGTTGCCGCTGCTGCCATGCCGTGGAGATGCTGTGTTTCGTTGTGAAAGCGAAACTACTTTGTTTGGCCTTCCAAAAGAGGACGATATCCGCTTCGTCATGCCTAGAGCTGATCCGTGCTGGTCGCTGAGAAAATACATTAATTTCGCGCTGTGGATTGCCGGATCGGCTTTCACCGTGGACAAATTGGAGTCTAGCCCGGGGTCGTCACATGTGGTTGCCACAAGCCCGCCGGCCGCTCCTTCATCAAATCCGCCAGCTGCGTCATTCTCAAGCCCACCGGCCGTCGCTCACTCAGCCCGCCGGCCGTTCCTCACTCTAGCCGCCGGCCTCCACTCACTCTAGGCCGCCGAAACTGCATAAACACATTTCATTACACAAAATAATGTTCTTTTTAGCAACATCATATGACCCATTTAAGCAAATATTATGCAGGCAGTCTACTAACTCTCTAATGATACTAGTGACTGGTAGCTGACATGTAGTTGCAAGTTACTTATAGTAAACTGAATATCTAAAGAGGACATCAAAATAAAATGATTTTAAATAGATTTTCAAAAGATGTTTCTTTTCATTGACATAAATGTAAATTGGAATGAGCATGCAATTCTAGGTGTCATCAACAGGCCAATTATTTTTTAACAACAGTTCAAAGCTCATATATCTTATTATCAATATTTGTTTATTATTTAAATAATAATAATTTGTACTTTCCACTCAGTAGCACTGAGTATTCTTTAACCAGCTACACAGATGTCCTGACCTGCCCTCCATATAGATGAGATTGAGATGACATTGTTGGGTTCACAGAGACCTATTACAAAGCCACATTCAGGTCCACTCAGACAGTTGAGAGACTCATTATCAGCTCAAGCAGCCACTGGTCCTTCATCTGATGCCCTCTCAGCTCAAAACAACACTCTCCTCTATTTGTTATATGATGTTATATGACTGTCGCATATATATGCTTTCCATTTTGTTTTTCATTTTAGAAGGAAAAGTGTTTCTTGATTCGGAGTCAGAGCACAGTAATTACTGCTGTGCTGTTTTTGAATGAAGGTCTCTCTAGCTCTGCAGACTAATTGCCTTCAAAACATGTAAATACATTGCATTATTTATTAGCTGAAAAGTGAGAGACATTAGCCAACACAAATATTTGCAGAATTTTTATTAGGATAGTCGGCAGATGAATAATGATAGAACAAAACTGTCAAAAAAAAACCAAACAAACACCCTGTTAGATGCTGTTTTGCTATGTCCTTTTATTAGTTTGAGTACTTTGAAGACTAGAGAACTGTCTGATGTCTGTGCTATTTGTTAAGCCAATTTCAGTCACTCATTTTATTGCTTGCAGTGGCTGTCATGTTGTAAACAGAAAAAATACATATGATTACAAAAAATTTCACTGTTTACAGCCCATTGGCAGAATTGCTTCTTTGCACAGCACCAGGTGTGAGCAGAACGTACAAACGTACATTCATAATTCACACACACATGATTGGATGGTGATGGCCAGGCCAAGAGCAGATCAAGGTGGAATAGAATGTGACATGAATAGATGGCACAAACATGAGACAGATCGAAAAGGGGAGAGAGAGAGAGAGAGAGAGAGAGAGAGAGAGAGAGAGAGAGAGAGAGACATAGA